AAAATTCCTGCCTTCCGTGAGTAGTGGGGGATAGACAATGACCAAAATAATAATCATATATTGTAATTAAAAAAATAATAGAAATTAAGGGGAAAACTTGGGAGTATCCTGTCAGAGTACTCAAAGAAATTGAAGGGAAATATCAAGAGAGCCCTTTCTCAAAAGGTGCTATATAAATAAAACTTGACAAGTTAGGTATCAGAACGTATCACTACCTGGGCAAAGTATAAAGCAGAAGCAAATGCTCAAAAGAAAGAATATGCCTGAACAACTGCGAGACACCAGGAGAGTACTTTGAGTGAAGAAGAGCAGGCTTGTAAGGGCAGTTGTGCAGAGTGAAGGAGTGGGTAGGGGGTGCTATAGATTTCATGAGACCTTGTAACCTGTATTATGGTTTATATCTAGATGTCCCCCCAAAGGCTCAGGTGCTCATAGGTGGGGAGTTTTGAAGGTGGCTGAACTAGGATGTGTTAGTGGGTACTAAGGGTGTGATAGGATCAAGGGCGTGGATAATGGCAGCCTCACCCTGGGTGTGACTGGCACCAATCAGTAGGGTTGCCCTGGATGGGATATAAAGGGACAGAAAGAAGGCAGGCTTGCTGCTCACTGCCTTCTGCCTGGCATTCCATGAGCTGTTTCTCCTCTGTGCTGTCCTGTTTTGGAGCCAGCTGACTGTGGTCTGAAACCTCTACGCACTGCTAAATAGATTTTTCTCCCTTAACCTGTGAATGGAGGATATGTTGTCTCACCAGTAAGAAAAGTAACTAAGATACTTTGTAAAGATCGAAACCTTGACATGCACTCTGAAAGCTCAAGCTTTCATTGTGAGTGAGGTGAGGTCCATTGCAGGGTTTTGAGCTGACTCATTTGAAAATGATTAGTTGCCATTTTTCCCAACCCTCAACCAATGAGCCTGACCTTTCAGCTCTATTCTTTCTGTCTCTCACATTTGTCTCAACTTTCTTCCTCTGTGGCTACCACACACTAGGTTAGAAAGCCTTAGTTTCTTATCTGAGTTATTTTAATAGCTTTTTAGTGGGTTTTCCTGTTTCCTCTTTGCTCCCTTCAAGTTCATGTCTATAATGTCACCACGGTAACCACTCTAAATATTTGACAGATTTATGTCCCTACTTTAAGTCATCAATAGCCTCCTTTTTTAACACTAAGAATAAATTTTAGAAACTTCAGTATGATTTTCCATGATTTGTTACTCTTTTTACTAGTTTATGTATAACCCAGTCCTCCTTTTTCACGTGATCTATCCTGGTTGTACTGAATTTACATTTTAGTTTGCTGTTGAATCTTCAAGGTTCAAGTACTCTCGGAAACCTTGCCTGAATTTTAAATCTGGATTGACTGAATTCAATTACATCTTTTCTACTCTTGTACCACTCTCTGTTCCCTGACACTGAACTTGTCATCCCATATACCAGTTGTTTCATTATGTTCCCACTCTTCTGTTAGGTTTGGTGAAGATGATCTGACTTGTACCTTGTATGCTCAATACTGCGCCATCTATGATGCTTTGAAGGTGACTAAAATAAATGAGATAAATGATAAAACTATTCTATAAATACCAGTAATTTGAGGATATTAATGAATTCCTTTTTGTCAGAGCCTGGAGACATTCAAATATTTGTTGAATACTTGAAAGATGAAATAAGAAAAGAAACACTTTTTGTTTTCTTCTCTCCATCCTATTTTTATTTGTTTATTTTTATATGTTTTTATTAGTATATGAAGCACTATCTACTAGAGAAATGCAAATTAAAATATTGCTGAGTCTCCATCTTACTCCACAGAGAATAATTATTATCAAGAAATCAAATAATAAGAAATGCCGATGAGGTTGTGTATGTGGGGGAAAGGAATCCTTCTTCATTGTTAGTAGAAGTGTAAACTAATGTAACCTCAAAAGATCTAAAACTAGAAATTCAATTTGACCCAACTCTTCCCCTTCTAGGTATCTTCCTAAAAGAGTTAAGGTCATTGTAGTACAGTGATACATGCACACTATTTATAGCAGTATAATTTATAAAGCTAAATCTTGGAAACAGCCTGTGTGTCCACTAACAGATGACTGAATAAATAAAGAAAAGACATTTTAATTTTTTGTAATTGGTTTATTCATTCTGATTTTCTAAATGCTTATCCATAATGGTGATTTGCAGCTACTCATTGGTCTCATTGTATGAAGACCAGGTACTGGTTTATGCTGTGTAACTCATGTGGATCTACTCTGACTTCAGCCCTGGAAGCAGATATATATGAATAGCACTGATTTACACCAGTTTTGAACAACAGATTAACTCTAGAACGCCAAGATAGCAGTGATATAAGTGATGACTAGCAGGATTGGTGACATTAGTGGATGCAAATAGTTTCCACAGCCAGAGAAGAAGTTCCATACTGGGTCATTTGTTTTTTTTAAACTTATTTTGATACTGGGAACTCAGGACCTTGGGCTTGCCAGGCAGGCACTTATGTCACTGAGATATATCCTCAGCCCCATTCTGGGTTCCAATTACAGTAATATTACAAGTTTTTAAATTTGTAGGCAACAGAAGCCTCAGTAGTGAGTGGAGACAGATTGAGTCATGAGCTCATCTGAGACACACCTCAGATCTTCTAGAAAAAGTAGGTAGTTTTGGAAACTTGAGGATCCCCAGTTATAAACAGATGAGCATATTTTATTTCTATCTTTATCAGTAACTAGACAGATCAATGTTAATACATCACAGTTGTGTTTTCGGAATCTAGAGAAATGTTTGTTCGATCATTTTACATATAGCACCTACTGGACTCTTCTCTAAATCATTAGACAATTTGTAAGTAAAGCAAACTAAACTTACTAGAGCTCACAAGAGTTAGGGAGATTATTGCCTTGATAGTTCTTGCAGTGTCTCAAAAGGAAGAAGTCAGATATAGTATAAATGTACGGTTTTGCAATCTGAAATCAAGTGGCTCGAGGAGAGTCTTTCAAGGTGAGGAACTCTTTTGGATTGGGCAAAGTTTCGGACCTGACAGTTTAGAGTTGGTGGACTCTGTGAAACGAGGCACTTGAAACAAGCCTACATAAGTAAAGTTGGTGTGATAAGCAAGTATTTGCCCAGGTGAGCCAATTCTTGCCTTTGATAATTGATCTGTGAGAATCTCTGAAGCAAACATCAAGAAATTTTTAAAAAATTGGTTTACAGCTTTATCTTTCCCAGGCAAAGTTTCCTGGAACAAATAACTAATAGATGTTGACATAGCTGGTTTGCATTCAAAACAAGTTATGACAACACAGGTGGTCTCAGAAATGTTTTCATTCTTGGACTTCTTGAGACATTTATGTGTCTTGCTGGTGTCTAAGAACCTATTTTGAAAAGGAGACAAAATAGGGGGTAAAGTATGAGGACAGAGGAAAAGCTGTGTGGAAAGGGAATGATGGATGGCACTGAGAAAGTTAAGGGGATAAAGTAAAATTTTGTACAATATTGTTTGAGGCCAAGCTTTAGCCAACAGAAGGATCAAACACATTTTATCTTCTCTTCTAGAAATAGCACCTGTAAAAATGCAGCACTGCTTTCAACTATGGTAATTAAAATTGAAGTCTCCTTCCTCACTCCAACCTATGGATGCATTTTGGGGGACGCTGTTGGACTGCGTGGTGCTTTCCCACGTCTCCGTCTCTCACTGTCCAGGCCCTTTTTCATTATGATGATATGTCAAAAGATGCAGTGGGGAAATGATAGTGACCTACTATGACAACTATGTCTATCAAAATACCTATAGATAGTTCTCTGCCCAGTGCTCTGAAACATCCTCATCCCCTAATTTACCAGGGCTGAATTTATAGTGCCGGTGGACACATACAAGACGCAAAGTTGTAACAGTGAATAATCCAAACTCTGGTGGGGGAAGGAGTTTGTTATGAATCCTGCCCTTTAAATATTTTATCTTTGTGATTTTAGGTAAGTTGTTAACTCAGTTGAAAACTCAATTTTTTTCATATACAGTGTACATCTCAGTCTCATTATTTCACATATAAAACGAGATAATAGCCACTTGGTAAAACTGTAGAAAATGATAACTACTACATTAAACCTTCAGTCTAGTTCATATTGTGTGCTCAGTAAATGTCAGCCCTTATTATTATGGTTATTAGGCAGCCATATGTGTTTTGCTGTTCATTTGAAGATGAAAGACAGAGAAACATAGAGTGATAAATAAGTCGGGAGGGACCACTGAGTAGTTCCAATCCAGCACCTTTATTTTACAAGAGAAGAAACTGAAGATGAGTGGGAACAAATGAGTGAAGGAGCCGGTTAGGAAATTGAAGCGAGATGTTTCCATTGCTTGACCTGCTTGCCAAGGTTGCCTGTGGGGAACAGCTGTGGGCAGGGCGCCTGTAGGCTTTTGATGATAACTCCTCAAAGAGAGCTTTTGTTTATCGCTGTGGAGGGCTAAAACTCTGCTGTAATTTGCAGTATTTGCAGTAGAGAATAGGAAGTGGTCAGAGATAATTTTGTCTCTTGGATTCTGGATCCTACATTTTTCTGGCAGTTTCATCACTTGGCAATAACTGATATCTCTAGAGTTCAAAGTAAATATTTAAGGTTGATAAAGCCTGCAACAATGCCGTGCTCCGCTGTGACCACATTCTTTCCCTACTCAGCAACTACTCCCAGAAACTTCTCTTGCCAACAAAATACCAACTAATGTTAAAATAAAAATAAACTGTTGCAAATATTGAAAATCTATCTTTTAAAGGGATTTCCAAAATGAATGACTGGAAAACCTAGAAAGTAGTTTTACTGCGCAGTAAAACTAACCTTTAAGAAATTATTTTTAGTTCTGAATCAATAAGATTTATAGAGCATTTGCTTTGTATAAGACATTGTATTTGCTTTAAAGAAACTTTTTTTTTTTTTTTGCTTTTGAAGTGCTGACAATGTAATAGGAAAGATGAAACAAAAGTAAGTTTATGAGAAATGAAATAACAAAGTGCAACTTACATAACATCTGAAGATGAATGCCAGAGCACATCAGCAGGCAGAGCCGGGGAAGTTGCCAGATGAATGGTGCTGTAGCCCTTTGGTCCAACGTGCGTTTTCTCTCCTTTCAGTTTGTGGTTTAATCTTTCCCTGCCAATCTTGGGGAGAAGGGAGCTAATAAATCAAGGTAAGCTGGATTTCTGTAGTCCAGGAATGATCTTGGGCACCAGATCATGCCTGGGATGGCTTCCAGAGTGACCCGGTGTTGAAAAAATATTGTAGCTGATAAAAACATTTATCCTGTTGGCCCAGCTGGCTGCTGTTCCTCGCTGAGCAATGAGTCTCTAGCCTTGCAGTCAACTGTTATGCTTTTAGCTCCTCAGTGTTTTTGAAATAGCTTCTTCTACTGTATGAGTTCCTGAGTCTTGATGTATATGGTAGTGGTAGATGGAAGGAAGGGCAGGACACTTTCAGTGAGTGTCACTGATGAGAAGAGAGGATGTGACATTCATGAGGGACCTGGGAAGAGGATGAAGATGAGCAGAGTACTAGGACTTCATTTTGTGATATGCCATGATTTCTCTTAAACACTACTGGACCTTCTTCCATAGGCTGTAAAATACAGCTTGTTCATGAATTCTGAGGATTTAATGCTTTGCTAAATGGAGAGCCAGTGCAGTAGGGTTGGGAAAAAAATGTCTAATTCTTAAGCCAAAAATAGTAACAGATCATGACAAAATAAAACTACAGAGGCAAATGTAGCTAAGATAATATTTCTACCTGAGAGTAGCTTAGGGGTTTTCCTCTAAGTGGGCTTGAAGTTTCTAATTCTTATCTTGGCTCTATGATAATGCAGGATTTTTCTTCTGTGTTTGATATTTTAATGGTAAATAAATTAATTCTTTAGTCTACCAAGATTCAGTTAATCTAGTCTATGCTTTATTCATTAAGCAAGATAGGGTATTTGGAAATCATGCTGCCCTCAATACACAGTTCTTATTAATATTTGAACCTACATATGGTGTTTGTAAAGAGCTCTGAGGCTCTAGTGAATATAATTTTGCAAAATCACTTCACAGGTAAAACAGCTGTATTCCTTGACTAAGTAATGTGGATTAAATTCTGTGTTGACACACACACACATTCTTCCTAGTATTGGTGAGAAACACCAACATTTTGGGCTAGAATTTGGTCCAGTTTATATTCCAGAAATTTTATTGTTGGCAAATGTGATGAAGAACTGGAAATAAAAAGATAGAGAGCTTAGCAAAATCTGTTTTCCTCCTTTTCTTCTAAATGCATTTTCTTTTGCTAAACCAAGCTCTCTTTAAATTGTAGAAAAGGAAAATAAATTTTATTAATGTGGTTTTAGAGGAGGAAGTAGATTTATCTGTGCTTGTGGAATTAAAATATTTCCTACCTTGATTTTTCACAGTAAACTAGAAATTCTTATATTTGAATATCTGGCGAGCTATAGAATAAAACACTACATTTGCTTTTACATTTATTCCTCGATGGCTGGGCAAATTTTAAACATGAGGTCAATTAAGTAGGAAGAGTAAAATCAGATGGTACTGAATAGTGAGAGGTAAAGCTGGAATTTTTTCATCTGCTTATTTGGTTTTACATTTTACACTTATTTTTAAAGCCAGCCTAGAATCGGACAGTATTATTGAAGTGAAAAATAGAAGGAATTTCTTAGTCATTTTTATAATAAATTTTGAGTTTTTAAAATGCTGATATCTAAACTATGTTGGAAAATGATCAAGTATGATTTTTTTATTGTAAAGAGGGTAAAACAAAACAGAATAAAGCAGATCAGAAGAAACACAGAAGTGACACAGAGTTCAAAGCAAGAAAATAGGAGAACAATGGTGGCTACTATAATGTCTCTTGTTTTCTAAATAGTTGTCTACATCTTCACATACAATGAATTCATACAAAACAAAATAGTACAAAACTGATTAGGACAGAGTAATGAAGCATTATAGGCCTTCAAAACCAATAGTAAAATCAACAATGGCTACTGTAATGTCTCTTGTTCTCTTTAAAATAGCTGCCCGTACCTTCAGGTATGTTGAAATTAAACAATACAAAACAGACTAAAACCACTCTGAACAAAGAATAAAAGCATTACTGAATTTCACAGCATGATGATACAGAATCAGCAGTGGATGCCATTCTTCAAAGTAGCTGTTCATTAAATCACACATAATATAATTGATTCTCATGAACTGTTTAGGGAAAGTTCTAGGCATGTATAAGCCTCTACATGTAAACCTATCCTTTCTGCATTACAGGGAAAAACAAAACAAATTACTAGAAAAACAAGAGACAAAAAAGACAAATAAATAATAGTAAAGATCCCCAAACAATGACGATATAGGCCTTCAAAACAAGGTGGTAGGAGCATAACTAAGTTTGTTATCTTACATAGTGATCTTCAAAAGAGTTCCTCAGATCACCAGACACAAACATGCAAATTTGCTCCAAACCTATGAATGTTAACTGTTTTGTTCCAAGAACTTACAGAATTCGTAGCACAATCATCTTAGCTTTCCTAAGTGTGTTTATAGAAATTTAGGTATTTTTTTCAAAAAGAGTTTTTGTAGTAGGGATTTCTCCCAGCATATATATATGGAAGATCTTTGGGACTCTTATTCTGGTTTGTTTATGCTGCCATAGTAATTGCCATTTTTATATCCTCCAAGTTATTACTTTTCAACAGGGTAGAGCCCAGAGAGTTGGGGCTTTGTTTTGTTTTGTTTGTTTAGAGGGCATTTATTTATTTATTTATTTATTTTTGGTACCAAGGATCAAACTCACAACCTTGTGCTTGCCAGGCAGGCACTTGTGCTGCTGAGCTAAATTCCCAGCTTGGGGCCTTTTAATTAGAAAATTATGTCACACATCCAGTTCTTATGGAGAACTCAGGTTGATACAAAAGTGTTGTGTCTCTGACTTCAACTCTTCAAGCTACACAACTATGGATAAAAGATTAAAATTCTGACTGTAGATTTTTGAGTTTTTAAATGAAATTGAAATAATTTTCATGTTAAAGGCTCACTACGAGCATTAGAATTTGCATTTTAAATGAAGTCATTGAAAAAGACTGTGAAAATATGCCATTCACAGCTGCATCAAAAAATTTAAATACTTAAGTACTGACCTACCAACTAAGGAAATGGAAGATCTCTGCAATGAAAATATATCAGACTGAAGAAGGAAATCAAGAAGAGTATCAGAAACTAGAAAAAATTTCTTGTTCCTAGTTAGGTAGAACCAACATAATCAAAATGGCTATATTTCCAAAACATAGATTTGTTGTAATCCCGATTAAAATGCTGATATCATTTCTCACAGATCTAGAGAAAACAATCCTAAATTTTATATGGACTCAGAAGAGGCCCAGAATAGGAAAAACAATCCTGGGTAACAAAAGCCAAGTAGGTGACATCATGATTCCAGACTTGAAGTTTATTATAAAGCTGCAGTGATTAGAACATCATGATATTGGCACAAAAACAGGTATGTGGATTAATGGAGCAGAGTAAAAGAAGCAGGAACAACTCTGGTCACATACATCTACTAACATACATTTGATCTTTGATAAAGAGCCAAAAACATATACTGGGGGAAAGATAAACTCTTTAATATCAGTACTGGGAAAATCACGTATTCACATGCATAAGACTGAGTCTAGACTCATATATATTCTGACGTACTAAATTAAAAGCAAAATAGATCAATGCTTGAAATAATAAAATGGAAACAATCTACTGGAGGATAAAATAGGTACAATATAGGTATAGGAAGGGATTTTCTAAATAAAACCCCAATGGCATAAGAAATAATACCGAGAATCAACAAATGGTATCATATCAAATTAAAAAGCTTCTGCACAGTAAAGGAAACAACCAACAGAGTGAACAGACAATTTACAGATAGAAACTTTTTTGCCTTCTATTCCATGGACAGAAGCCTAATATCAAGAATATATAAAGAATTAAAAAAATAGAATCCCCTAAAATAAAAGACCCAATTAAAAATGGGCAGCCAAAATGACTAGACACTTCTCAGAAGAAGAAGTAGAAATACTCAGTACATTCATGAAAAAATGCTCTTCACAACTGGTCATCAGAGAAATGTAAATTAAAACTCCACTGAGGTTCTATTTTACCCCAGAAAGAATGGTTGCCATAAAAAAAATCTAATAATAAAAAATGCTAGTGAGGATGTAGGGAGAAAAGAATGCTATATATTGTTAATGAGAATGTAAGCTAGCACAATCACTATGGAAATCCTTTTGGAGAGATTCTTCAAAAAACTAAAAATAGAAATTTCATTTGACTTAGCAAGTTCACCTTCTAGGTATCTTCCCAAAAGTGTTGAAATTATGCTAGAGGAGTGCATGCATATCCATGTTTATGGCAGCACAATTTTTTAATAACTAGTTTTTGGAAACAGTGTATATGTCTATGAACAGATGAACTGAGAAGGAAAATGTGGTATTTATACACTATTCAGCACTATGGTACCATAAAGAAAAACACGAGGCATTCATAGGTAAATGAATGCAGCTTGAGAACATGCCGTTAAGTGAAATAAATCAGACATACGAACTCAAATATCATATGGTTTCTCTCATATGGGACATATATGTCCATATAAGGCCTCTCTGTATATGTACATGTAATATAGTGTATATAAGTATATATATATATATATATATATATATATATATATATATAAAGAGAACAAATTAGCACATAAATGATTATTTCTGATATAATTTTGAACATATATCTTAGCATGCAAATATTTTCTTTCTAACTCCAGAATTTCTCTCTTAGAGAGCTTTGTATCTTTGTAAGCTTAGTTCTTCATTCATATGTCATATAAAATTAGAAAAATGAAGATGATAAATAGGGCAATAACCTGAAAAGTGGAATAAAAGGAAGGAGATGAAGTAGAGTGCCCATCACTGCACTTCAGGGCTGGGAGCTGGGGTGACAGGCACTGTACTGGGGGATGTCAGTAAGTTTGGTGGCTTGTTGAAACAGAGGTGCTAGAGAGGTACCATCCCAAAGGACTTTCTGCAATTTCAGGATTTTTCTCATGTATTCTGTTTTGTAAGGCAGCTACCATCTGTGCATTTGCTGAGTTGTAGAATGCCTCTAATGTGACAAGAATTTTGAATTTCATTGTATTTTAATCCATGCAAGTTTAAATAGCCACTTATGGCTAGATGGCTAGTGGCTACTGTACAGAACAATAGAATTCAAAGAAGTCAAGGGAATATAAGAGCCTGCAGGGAGGAAGGAAAGGAAAGGACATTTTAGCAAGCATCATCATGGACTGTGAATTAGA